ACATTAAAAGTTAAAACTATATCCAATATGTCTACTGTTCATACATGTTAGGAGCTCACTTCAAAGTTGGAAGTTCGAGCTTCAAACATTCTACTGAGTGGTGATATCATGCCACAAATTTTGACTGCACTTCGATATTTTTTCTTCCATAAATGCATCGTAAACTCTTTCTAATTTTCTTCAGCTGGAAATGAAACTAGTGATTTCAAGAAAATAAATGATATGTATTCCACTAAAAAGATTACCCTATCTTAAATATATCAGGAACCCCCACCCACACATTCTGAATAGTATATAGCAACTCAAAGAAAGACTATTGGCCTCTGATTAAAAGATGCTCAATTGGAGATTTGGTATACAAATTTAGATTTAAAAAATTCCCAAAACCAAGTGCATCGACCACGCAATACAATTTCTATTGCCTCTATGTTGACGCTAAAGGAAAAATATAAGAAAAATGTAGATTATTGATCCCATTTCTCAAAAGCAGATTATGAAAGCTCTTGCAGCAATTTTCAAAGATTAATAGTGAAACAAAGAACAGAGTGACTGGTCCTCAGATAGAAAAGACTATAACTAGAAAGACAACATACTACAAGGGTTTCTCTACCCAGAAAATTCTCGACATAAATGGTTTGGGTGACTGAATTTATTATTGAGTGTGGAACTGCCAATAATACCATGACAACATTCTCATTGGTAAGCCATTGTCAATATTTCCAAACAAATTCCCTTGAAGGTCAAATTTCTAGGTTTCCTCTACCCAGAAGTTCCTCCACATTTGTCCTTCAATAATGGTTTGGATAAATGCATTTGTTATTGAGTGTAGACATGTGAGTAATTCCATGACTACATTCTCATGATTAGTAAGCGGTTGTCAAAATTTCCAAACAAAATTCTCTCAAAGGTCAAATTTTGAAACTGATAAACTCCAAAAACCACAATAACGTCTCTCATGTAATTTTAGTCTTCTGGTTTCAAAGTAGTAAGCTGAAACTTTACCTATACAATAGTAGAATGGTATGGGATGCTTCGATAGTATACGATCCCAACTGTCATTAAATGAATTCCTGAAAGTTCCATCCTTGTCCATGACGTATGCAATTCCACCAATCAAAGCAATTACCTGTATTAATAAAACTGCTTTCAGATAAAAGGGATGGCGGGATGGATGTTTAATTATGGAGAAATGAAGCTCACAGCCTAGATTTAAAAGCACAGAAGGTTCTCGGCTTCATGCTAGAAAAAGGAAAAAACAAAAGAAAGAGAGGAGAGACAGAAAGGGAGGATTCAACCATAATGTCAAATGCGAAATTCCGATTTCAGAAACCCATCTATCTGAACATCAAATTCATATTTAGTCAGGATGTTAGAAATTCTTAAGCTGCATTGTAAAGGTGTTTAGTTGTTATCTCTATGATTTAGTTAGTTTTGCAATAGGTCACTAAAAAACAAAATGATGTATGGAGAAAGAAGGTATTACTGAGTAATTTTGGAACTTAAAGGGCAACAACGTATGAAAATTGAGAGGGTAAAGTTGAGGTTTGACCTAAAAGTTATTAATCATCTGAAATAAGCATTATATACTCAACAACATCCACTAAATAATGACCAATGCAGATTCATACAACATTGAATTAAATCAGGTGAGTCTTGATTATGTGTAACCAAAACAAATGATGAATTGCCTAGATATCTAACCAGGCACTTAACATCCATTAAATACACAGCCTGTATCACATAGACCTTGATGGAGGCTGCAACAACTATTTAAAACCTACTTCAATCCTTATCTTCTACCCTCAAACATTTCATTTCAATATGAATTGGGCTATATGTACTTTCATCCAAGAGATTGTACTTAGTACTTACAGTTTGTACAGCAAAAAATACAAGAAACACATCCCTAGCCACAAAGATTCTGAATTTTATTTTGCGCCAAGAATTGTCCTCAAATTCTGCTATCCGAAGATGAAATTGAGCTTTGCAAGTTGTGCAGTGCGAAAAAGCAAATCCTTCCTATAAAAATATAGGAAGCAAATAAACCAGAACTTTTATCAGAATCAAAGCATCGCTATTCATCATTCAGAGCCAAAGCAGTAGTAATGCTCACCTTAACAGACCGCCAGTGATCAAGACACGAGCGATGCACAAATTGCTGAGTGCCTTTGCACATGCATGGAGATATCAATTCATCATCTACGGCAAAAAACTTCTTTAGGCCATGGGAATCGGATATGATCACAAATGATAATACAGTAAAACCCTAAAATTAATAAGTTAATCCATACTTCATATCGACCAACGAATTTATACAATTAAATTAATTTATTTGTCCAAAATTATTACCATCTTCACCATCGCATTCGAGGCAAATTCTGCAGCAAGCGAGGGAATTAGCTTCAATATCATCATCATTCTTTATCTCACTCGAACTAGCCGAGGAAGATGATGTGTCAACATGGTGGCTGTCTAACAGAGGATCGGAATCGGTAGGGTTTCGATCAGCCGACGGCTCCAGCTGTAATTCACCGGTCATTGAAACGTATTTCGGAGCATAAATTATATATGTAGCAACGTCCAAAACCCTAGATTAATCAAATGATCGAATCAAATTGACCTCAAATTATCAAAGATTCGTCATATGTAATTGCAGTGTGTAGGTTTTGATAACTAAAACTCGCAGAGAGAACGAGCGAAGTATTGGATGAGACGTTAAATGTGGGAGAAATGTGTTTCCTGACAGGAAAATTATACTTTGACCCCGAAACTATAGTCAAATTTCATTTTATCCATCACACTATTGATTTTTTCACTTGCCCCACCACTACCTGAACTATTTACACTATCCCCTGATGCAACGACCACTTTTTTTTGGACAAAAATTGGCAACATGTCAGGGAAAACTAAAAAAAAAAATTACATAATTTAAGGGTAAAATAAAAACAAATTTCTACTAAATTTATAACATATGTTAATAGTGTTTTTTTAAAAAAAAAATTAGATGTTAATAGTTGAAGTAATGTAAAGCTTATTAAAAATATGATAATTGAAGGGATAATAAGAACAGGGGTTGGGGTTAGAGTTGAGTGAGGGAAGTGTAATGTAATCCTTTGCTGAATGGATAGGTGTCGACGTCCGAACCCAATCCAAGCAGATTCGGAAATATCATTGTTTAGGCATAATTTTCAAAACATCGGTTGAGCTTCGATAAAATATGACATTGTTCAGATTGATGTCTTGGCATCTAACCCCAACTTAAAAACCAATTATTAAATTAGAATACCACTTAGAATTGAATTGAATTGAATTCTAATTCAGAATTGTATAATTCGGGAACCAAACAGTATTTAGACATAATTTTCAAAGCATAGATCGAGTATAGATAAAACAAAATTTAAGATTAAATACAATATTGTTTGGTTGGATTGATGTCTTGGATTCTTGGCATCTAACCCAAACTTAATACCAGTTATTAAATCATGTTCAAACATTTCAACATATAGAACACTTGGTTTAATTTAAATCATGCTAATGTTAATCAACTGAATTTTAATTTAAATTCAGTTCAAATCTGAATATGATTAAATGGACATGAATTAATATTTTTTTTACCAATAATTCAAATTCGAAGTTGAATCAGTTCTATCATATTAATGGATTTAGATTTAGATATACTAATATCCGATTTGACTATTAGTTCAATTCGAATTGTACATTTAAATGTATAGATTTATGATAAAATTAAGGAAGTATATAATAAAACTATTTTTGAATATTATACATAATTTGTTAAACTATAACTTAATTTAATTATTCGGATTAGATTATTGAATCCAATAGTCGATTCTTATCGAATTCAAATATAAATTATATAAAAAAAATTGTCGAAGTATTGAATCAAAATTCAGTTAAAACTTTTTTAATCAGATTTAAATTGACTATAATTTGACCTGAACCTAATTCATTGAATGATCCAATCTGTATTATATTTTTTTGTAGTTTAACGATTAGAAGTATATGTGACAGCTTACGCGCACTTCGACTAATATTCTTTCTAATTTAGACAAATTATTCACGTCAAAACTAGAGTATTTATGAGGGATACATTTCTCATAACCTAATTCAAAAAATTATCAAAATTCATATTAAAATATTTTAATTTTCGATTAATTTTAATTACCACTTTCACTACGTCTTTGAATTTATTCCGTATGATATCAGTTATTAGACCAGTGTGACCAGCTTGACCATTATCGTACCTGCAAACATAATTTTGAACTTTCAAGATGTCCAGCAAATTGGTCAAAAAGAAAAATCCACAAAAAGCCCAAAAGCCACAAAATTCAAGCTTACACACACACACACACACATTGGGCCACTGATTCGGACATTTCACTAAATGAGTGACCTCCAAGTCGATGCAAGGACATCTAGTATTAGAGAAGACTATGCTATAGAAGCACATTTTTTGCTCAATATGATACTGAAAGTTACGATTTGATCAAATTAAGTTATGTTTTAATGTAATTAATTGGTGCATATATTCGTTGCGTGTAGACTGACGTACTTGATCATGTGAAGAGTGGAATATGTCTATTAAAGTTATTAATCATTTTTTTTTCCAAAATATATGTTCTCAATAAACTATGATATTTGATCAATCAGAATTTGCATTGTATAATAATATCTCAAAATTGACCGACTAAAGTAACTAAATTATTCAAAGCAAATCAATATCAAGATATTTCGGTTCTCTATTACCTTTATTGTTGTCCACGCCATTTGTTTTTTTATATTTTGATGTCATCTATTTGACCTCTCTTTAAAAAATAATAAAAGATATTGTAAAACACCTTAACACCCAAAATAATATTTACCTCTATGTTTTGCGGTCATATGTACTATGATATCTTTCTATAGAAAAACACATTAGGGTTATTCTTTTTAATCTATCCTACTAATAAAAGGAAGTTAAGTGAAAATTTTTTGATTGTCTATTATATCTCTATAAAAAATATTAAAGGCACTTGTATTATATATTTAAATGACTCTTCATATACTTCCATTTTCACAAGAATTATTGTTTCATGCATTGTACTTTTTTATTTTTTAATTACCTAACATTAATTATATATTCAAATGACTTTTCATATACTTCCAATTTCACAATAATTATTGTTCCATGTATTATATTTTTTTTCTAAGTTAATGACACTATCTTTCTTTCATTTACTTTTCATAAACATTTTTGTTTGCAATAAATCTATTAATCATCTTTACTTTATGAAAAATAATTGATTATCATTAATATAACTATTATGTCATCGACAACCATCATAAAATTTATTTTATCATTTATCTAATTTGAACTAATGCGTAACTTTACAAACGATACAAATTCCTAAAAAGAAATATATTAATTAATCAAATGAAATTTGAATCATTTCATCTTTTATTTTATGGCTACGTGGATAGCTAATAATCAAATATTTAATCTCATAAATGTCAATCATAAATTAATTGTAATACTATTTCATTCATCTCCCATTCTTTCACATTCATGTTTTTTTATTGCAAGTTATTGCTTTTTTTTATATGATTTATGTTTTCCTTGGAGTTAGGCTAGCACTAATATCTTGAAAAAATTTTCTTGATTTGTTAAGTATTTTTTTATTTATGAACTAGCGTGATCAATTGTGGAAGATCACTGTGACAATGATATCTTAAAATTTATTTACTCTAAATTATATACCTTCTATGCATTTAATTTTAATGGTAATAGGTTCATTTTTTGTTTAGCAGTGAAATTCATTTTTCATATTTAACATTATATCGCGTGTGTAGAAAAAGTTACGTGATTCTTCTCATGCGTTGAATAATTGAAATGAGATTTTTTTTCATATGGATCACGATTCAACTAGGTTTTTTGAATTGCTCTAGGACATAAGGTACCAAAAACTAATTTTTGACAATATACATTTTATACATTTTACCATTTGAATATGGTAAAACAAATTTTAGTATGTTCATTATAGATTTTTGTGGGTAATTATTTTTCTAGGATATTCATGAAGCATATATGATATTTTATTTTGAAGTGTAATTTAATATTTTTTTTTTCAGTAAATAATGAAACAATTAAAGTTCACCAATTATTTGTTTTCGTTATCAAAAATATGATTGTGAATTTTGAGGTAAATCATTTCAAGCTTATCATAATATTAACATCTCTTTGTTTGTTATCCTATTAGAAACGACGAATATTAAATTTAGAATAGACTACTAAACTCTAATTTTACAAGTTAATATGCGGCTAAATTTGTCCATAACATAAGTTTTACTAGATACTATACAAAATATTTAAGCAAAATTTATTTATACAGTTGATTGTATTTCATAATTTTTATAGCAATAATATATTTAATATTGAAAATAATTCACATGCAATGCACTTCTATACAAATATATATATAAATTTACATATCTGTATCTATATCTATTCATCTATATTTACTAATAAAAGTATCTTAACATCAAAAATTCTTGAATCTCTATTTTACCCTTATAAAAAATTGCAAAGACCACTTTATTTTTTGACAATTAAATATCTAAATTATCATCATATCCTTATGTACTTAAATCTCTAAATTATTTTTAACATATTTTTTAATTATCCATTATTTCTGTATAAATATTAGTTTTTATAAAAAAAAAAATTAATTGACTATATTACTCTTCAAAAAATATGCATTATTATATTTTTAATGAAGTGTTCAAAAAATCTTCAAAAATTTCATCAATCTATTATTATTCATCTCATATGCAAAGATAACATTATACTGTCATATGCTTTTTTTTTTTTAATCAAAAAGTTTAAACATTTCATTTCTAAAATATAAAATAATCGTATATATAGTATTTAAAATCAATTTCTGTTACATTAATATAATTATTCAGTCACAATAAAATTTTTAAGTTGTATTAAGATTTTATGTGAAAATAGATATTGTAGTATAATTTAAAGTAAAATTTTTATTTTTTAGAATTTTAATATTGCAGAATTTGAATTTTTTTTTTAGAAAATTTAAGTAAAACTTGAAATTTTTAGATTTTTTAGAGTAGTATATTAAATATTATCTCAATTCACCTGACTTAGATATTTTAGAGTAGATTTTTTAGGTTCTAATATAATTAGTATATTAACAATTAATTTTATTTTATTCAAGGAATTATAACTGGAATACTAATAAAATGAATTTTATCAAAAAATTTAATTTCTCAAACATCACTAAAAAATCAATTTCAATTACAAAATTTAAAAAAAAAAAGAAATTTAACTATTTTTTTTTAAATTTATTGTCTTTTAGTTAGAACAAAGAATTTTAGAAATATAGAAAATTTTTATAATCTTATAATAGAAAATGAGCAATGAAATATTAAGTTTTTATAAATTTGAGATAATATTTAATCCAAATACGCATATACCTAATATGTTTTATTATTTTTTGTCTACGAAAACTATTTATGTGCAATGCATGTGGTGCATTACTAGTCTATATAGATGCAACTTGGTTTGCTGAAGGGGAGTTATGAACTCGTTGATCTAGTATAATATATCATTTGTAATATGAATTTTAAAATTATTCGAAAAAAGAAAATATTTCAATATTCTTAAGAATTGAACATAAGGATTTCCTCCAAGAACATTCATCAATTTATCCACTATTGCCTCATTCAAATCTATTTTTTATTACTCTCATTCTATTTTGGACTTTTTTTTTCAGTATCGTACAAGTATAACTGAAAGTAACATAAACTATATTGTTTCAAATTATACACTTTGTATCAATTTGATTCTCACTCTTTTAATTGTGTAAATTTGGTCCATCAACTTTTTAATTTGTGTCACTTTGGTCCAATCAAAACAGTTGAAATTTACTAACTGAGATCGTCACTTGCATCTCACCTAATCACACTTGAAGTGTCTTCTTTGGAAATTTTAGGAACTAAAGTGACACAAATTGTAAACCTAAGGGATCATAATGATACAAGTTAAAAATTGTCGTTTTCAACTAGACTAATGTTATATTAGTCCATTTTTAACATGATGTAAATTAACATTATTGAGACTTATATTGTGTTTAAGTAGTGTTGTTTCCTTGTATTCGAAATATTACAAGATAAGGTAAATGTTGTCTTCGTTTAACTAAGTAACTACATGAAAGTGTTTTGACATTTATAATCTTATTTGATTCAAATTTGTTCAATATTTTGACCTTTAAGATCAAACCTTAACTTTTATACTTCAAGTCACTCCAAACAACAGAATTTTCAGTAACCACATTCAAATCTACTTTTTTTTTTTTAGTGGTGATACTTTGCACAATGTTGGAACGGAAAAAAATGCTCAAGTAAGGCAATAAACAAGGTCTCTAAAAGTAGATGGATAAAAAAATTTAAGTTACAATATGGTGAGGACATAGGTGAATCAATGTGGAGATCAATTAATGGTGATGTTGATGATCTAACCGAGGGGCATTATGACTGCATTACACCTGTTAGATGCATATCATCCTCCAAAAGTAACTTTTTTTTTTTGTTTTTAGTCCGGTTGTTCTTCTATATCATACCAAATTTCAAATATCCTGATAAACAGTTTACTGAAGTGTTTGTTCTTTCTTTCTCTTATATGGAAAACTTCAGATGGATATCTAACCATCCAATGAAGATCAAGCCCAGCACCGACATACTGCTCTATCAACTTTATTTATAGAAGTCGTATAAACATCATGGAATTGAATAGCCTTACCTTTATGATTACTTAATAAAATAGCTTTGGCAAATTTTTAAGTTGTAAGGCTTCTGTCCATACTCCTATGTGCTAATATCCCAACCATCCAAAACTTCTTGGGTTATATATATGTAAAGAATTTATTAAACATATCACTGGACTACAATCTAGTGAGGAGGAGTATTGTATCAAAAGATATTAGATCAAAACTCGGTGGCAAAGATTTGATGGGTTTTTTGATAAGGAGAAATCATATCGAAAATATTACTTACAGTCAAATTTGAACTTGTTATTAAACAAGACTTATTTTTCGTCAAATATCACTCTTATCGCTGTTGGTAATGATATTAAAATAAAAATCTGAGACATATTTTGCACAAAATACTTACAAGAAAATCAATGGAAGAGCAATATAATACTAAGAATACACCTCTCGCTCCGAAATAGAAAGACACATAGAGTGTTTGCTTCCGAGGCAGAGAGAGAAGTGTGATGAAAGACCTAAAGTCGTTCACATTCCAATTGGGAGTCTGAAATTGCTAAGATTCCAATTGATTATTGCTATAGGCATTGAACTTCAAAAAGTAACTCCCAAAATGTGTAGAACCACAAAGAGTAAGAGTGGGAAACTGTAAGGTGTAATAGAGAGAGTTTTCAATGCGTTAAGTAACTTTTCTAAAAGCTTCAACAGTCTGCATAACTTTCACCATTAAAAATAATTTTATAGAACTTAAAAAAGATAGTGTTGGCATTAATTGTTTTATCAATATTATTATAGTTAATCAAAATTTCTTTCACTTTTATGACATTTTAAAATAGTATAAATAGATATACATAGATATATATTAACATTATCTATATTTTAAATTGGATGTACACTAAATATTTATTTTTTGAATTATAGATAGATGTGTGTGTGTGTATGTATATATATATTCATATAATTTATTTATGTGGAAAGGAAAGTATGTAAAAGGTTATTTGGCTATTTAATTGGTATTGGGTAATTAAATATATAATAATATAGTTATTTTTAATCATTTTTATAGGAGTATTATGGTCAAACAAAATGTTTTCACTTTTGTTGACATTTTATAATAATATAGATATGTTGGGACTGATGAGAATATTTCGGAAGCTCAACAAACCTTAAATTTTATCTATTTGAGTCATAATTTTATTATACTAAGTCATAGTGTTTAGAACTTTTTCGTTACTCTACGTTTTGCTATTGCAACGTATTAGAAAAATTAAAAGTTATTATTTATGGTGTCTTCCATGTTTATTGTTTCTTGTGATGGTTCAAATCCATTTTCCATTTCATACAAACATGGGATCGTTATTTTTAAACTTAAGGGGTTATTCAAGTGATAAAGAAATGAATTGTAAATTCAAATGTTTTAAATTTGAATTTTGACAATCTTTTGGTGTCAGATTATGATGAATGATTTATTTCTCATAAATATTTTAATTCTGGTATGGATAGTCTGTCTTTGACCAAATTGGAGAGGTGATTAATCGAGATATACTTAAACGGACACCCCTGATAATTAAATAAAAAAAGGGATCTTCATTTTTCAATTGATTTTAGGGAAAATTTCATTCATGCTCCCTCTAAATTGGTCTATCTTCAACGACACCCCTTCCCTTTTCTGAAATTTCATTGACCTCTCCTGTCAGTGTTGGTCGGCTAACAAATGTGACGAAAACACACAATTTACCATTTTACCCATAAATTTTATAAAGATTTACATATTTACTAATTATTTTTTATTAAACCATATATAAATACATATTCTTATTTTCTAAATACGTGTACGTAGAATTATTTACCAAACTACCGTCCTTTTTAAACAAATATATCAAAATATTGCATTTTAAAACTTTTTTATTAAACTACAACACTTTTTTAAAAACGGAGTCAATAATTCCACTTTTATAAAAAATAAATTCAACAATCTCGCTTTTGTTAAAAAACGGGATCAATGATCCTGCTTTTAAATAAAAAAAGTTGTCCAAAATAATGAGCTGTAACACGTTAAAAGCGTGGTTACTAACCGCACTCTTTTAAAAATTGTGGTTAGTAACCACACTTTTCACGTGTTTTAAGTGGAGTTTCTTCACAAACCTTCCGCACTTTTTGGTGCTTTAATTCAATAGTCTTCCAGGGCCAATAACTCCAAGTCATCTCCATCTTTCAAAACCAACCATGATTTTGATCCATCAACACCCCCACAAATGGGTTTATCCAGAAAACCCTTTTGCCTCTTTTTTCTTTTTCTAGTCCTGTTCACCAACCTTGAGATGATCCCAATAGCTGAATCTGCCTTGAGATGAAAACACCAATTTGGTGTACAAGGGCTGTGCAAATCAGGCTTTCTTAGCCCCCGATTTAGATGCTTGAAGGTTTCAGCTTATGAGTTCGTAAGTTTGGTGAGGTCCACCATTGATGAAGTCCTACAAGTCATCTCCATCGTCTCCAAATTCACTAATGCATTTGGTGATTTTCGGCTCTCCAATTCCATTTCTGACTATCTTGATTTCCTCGATCTCTTTGCCGATGAACTCGACTGGACTCTTTGTTTCTCATAATCCCAATGGTGGGTCTCTGTCATCTTTCTCTCTTTCTATTCTACCTTCCTACTTTTCTAACTAAAGAAAGAGAAATATGTTGAAGTGAATCACAAAGGAAAAACAGAAAATTACCCACCCTTGTAGTCAAATTTGACACAGCCATAGTGGGTTCATTGCCGTGGTAGTTTTGCAGGTAGGCGATTGGATTGTTAAGGCATGTGAGAGAGAGAGAGAGAGAGAGAGAGAGAGGGAGGGTGAAACAAGGGTTTCTCGGGGAATAAGGGTAAAATTGGCATTTAATAAACATTTTAGTATGACATCAACACTTTTTAGATGGTCAGGAATGAGTGGTTACGATAGAAGGTCTAGGTGAAGAAGACGTATGAACTAAAACAAAGTCTAGTGAAATTTTAGAAAAATTAAGGGATGTTGTTGAAGATAGACCTATTTAGAAGGGGTGTGGATAAGATTTTTCCTTGAATTTACTATAAATCTTAACATATTTCTAAATACTGATACCAATTTGAATAGTCAAACAAAAGCCGAGAGTGCAAATATAATTTTAGTTATCTTCTATTGTAAAATGTCAGCATTCAACAACTTCCCTATATTACACTTCACCTCTCAAAAATTATGCCAAAGTTATTCACCAATTACGAACTATACAGGAATTACATTCAGCTACCACTGATTTTTTACTTTTCCCTTTTTTCTGGTCAAATATTTTTCCGTTTTTTCTATGATAAGCAGCAGCTTCCAAAGCCAAGAAAGAGGAAAGAAAATTCCCCAAGGACCAAAGAAGTCTCCGTCTATATTTACACAGACGTAAAATGAGGAAGGAAAATGACATATAAACAGGGCATCAATGAGAGAAGAATTTTCAACTACAAACAAACAAACAATTGGCAATCAAGCACACTTGCATGGAATTTTCTCTCTTAAAACTTCCAGAGGGAAAAGACAATATAATATCAAAGCTTCTGTTCCATTCTTTGTCTGCAATCGATGAGAAACTTGCAATTTGATTACGCCATGACCAGTCAACCTTTCCCTTCTGTTCAAATTCATACCCTGCACAGACATAACAAAAATTCAAATTTATTCTAGAATCCGAAGGGAAAAAAATGACTTATACCAAGGACTTTGTGTGTGACGTTGTTTTTTTGGGGGAGGGGGGGGGGGGGG